CTGCAAAGCATGTTCTCCATCGTTTTCAGCGAGTCCAAGGATACCGATATATACTTGGATATATATACATACTCATATGTGTGCGTCACCCTCTGATGTAAAAGGCAGTAAATGCTTCTTATTCGGTATGCAATGAGGCTGACATTCATTCATCATGATAAGTATATACATGATGGAGCATATATATTCTATTTACATTTGTGTTTTTTCTAGAACCTCATTTTTCCAGCTACTTTTTATAATGAATAACCAATTTATTCCAGCTTCTTAACACACATATTTTTATAGGTACACCTCAGATGCTAACACTTTGTACTTAAAATATACAGCCGCTGGTAATTTTCTACAACTTTTGTCTCTATTATTCAGATTATATAGATTCATACCAGTTGTAAGAAACTCGAGTGCGCACTGCTCAAGTAATATTCATCTGTGGGTGTAGTTGTTTGGAATAGAAATGGTGTCCATTATTACAATATTTACCATTTTTATAGTCTCCGCACGCTTATTTTATGTTCAAACCCTAGTTTGTACTGTTTAAGTAGTGAGGTACTACAACAATAACAACAACAACAACAACATTCCTGAAGCAAGCTCGCGCCTCTCATACTCGTAGATGTCTGCATGCATTCACAGTTATGGGCCACTTAAAGCGCAACCCCGACACTTAACATTTAATTAAAATTTTGTAATTACCGACAACAAGATTCGTTCGCTCGTGCGCTCGTTCGTTCGTGCGGTCTGCCGTTTGCTCAATAGGGAGAGCCAAGTTGCTCCGAGACTTGACTGCGTCATTGCTGTCAAGTGCATTGAGGCGTATCTATGTGTGTGTGCATAAGTATATAAATATCCGTGCATATATAGCATACAAGTATAAAACTGTGCATGTGTGCCAGTGTCACATTGTTGCCAACTGTTCATTTTGACGACCAGACGTTGCAACTACTAGTACGCTCGATGTCTTCGCCTTAACTGTTATTTCAATGAACTTGGCACGCTTCGGCCAGTAGCGATAGCGATGGCGATGGCTGGCAGACACTACGCTAATTGGTAAATGTAAACTGCTTAGAGACTAAGCCGACATCGCCGACATCGCCGACATCGGGCGCCACGAGAATCCTTTCGTTATTCCCATTGTAGTCCTCCTCAGAGCGGCATTGTTTCACATTTTGCCAATTAATTAGTTCCATTGTGTTCGACCGGCTGGCTGCCTTCCTGGCTGGGTATCTGCCTGCTTGGTGCTTAACAATGATCTGAGTAGGAATGCGCCTTAAATCCTCTGTCGTAACAACAACAGCTACACTTACATATCTATACTTATTGTATATATATATATGCACATATATATATACATACAATATGTGCATACACCAACCCATGCCTTTGGCATTGCCAAAACGTCCTGCCAAATTCCTTTGTGTGCGTCGTTATATGTATGTATGTATGTATGTATGTATATACAAGTATGCACAGAAATGTAGGAACGTGTGTTTATGTGCGTTCACGTGCCAACAGTGTAAGTGCATGTGTAGCAGTGCGTTGAGGCGAATGGGCGTGGCAGCAAAGTGCATGCAAAATACGTGCCATGAATTCAAGAAGAAGCTGATTGCAATTTATTTTTATTACGCACAACAACAACAAAGTTTATATAGAGCTAAAACTTTTAGCAGACAAAAAACATACTAAATACTAGTAGGAGAGTTAATTTTAAAGTAACCGAAAAATTTGCCAGATTTTGCATAATACATATTCCACAAATATCGGTTCAATAGCACTGTTCTCAATTGTTATGTACAAATTCTAAAAACTATCTTAAAAGATATTGAAACTAAAGCTACAGCTACCTTATCATCTAATTACAAGAAGTTAATATTATTTAATCAACTATGGCTTAAATGTTGGCTAACTGGCAAAGGTTATTAGCTTTGAATTTTCCCATACATTTAATGTGGAGAACTTCTTAAATTGGATGTTGCACCTTCTATAGTTATTTAAAAGGTTATTAAAAGAAAAGTATTTGGATGCGCTTTTATTTTAGTATTCTAGTTTCTTTAACAAATAAAATAACATTTTAAAATGTTTAGGCTGATCTCCATATTTTTGGAAACTTTATTTTCCATACACTGTAAGGCAAACCAATGTATGACATTAATTTGCATTTAAATTTATTTATGGTTGTTTACATCAATTTTCTGTTGCCATAATTTGCTTATTGATAAATTGAAATTTGAAAACATGGATTTATTCATTCATCTATTCATGTTTGCATAGCCCAAACGATTCATTGTTGCATTCTGCAGTCTAATAATTCACTAAATGACAGGGATGTGCCATTTTAAGGAGCCGTATGTAACAGGAAAATATTTGCCAACTATTTATTTCAATCAAGTCCATGTCAATTTGAAAATGTATGATTAAGTGTATGGTTCCATACTTGTACTTTGCAGTCATCCTAGACAGGAAGGTAACATTTTGGAGCAAGTGAAGAAAATTGTCTTTACTCCTGTAAGAGGGCTATTAACATCTAGTGTGGTGTGCTGGATTTTTAAGGCCATCATTCGTCTCATTTTAATCTAGCGGTTCATAGTGCGGTTGCGCTTACTTTTTTTCCCCCTCGATATAATCGGAGGAGAATTACCTACCAAGATTGCCTTAAGGCTAAGAGGGGTCTCTACATGATGGGACTTATTTAAATGGCATGCAAGGATAGTGCGTCTCCACCCTGGAGTTTCGAAAAACACATCTACTGGAACGCAGCGCAAAATAATTTACAAATTATTTTTCAATCCTTCTTCCTCTAATTGTTTAAATCAATGCTTTGTATGTCTACTTGAGTTTCTTAAATAAATACTTTCAACTTGAAACTGCTTTGATCAACTTTCAAATATAATGTACTTATGTACATGTTTGTTGGAAGAAATTTAAGAGTATCTCACAGGCAAATATTGTTAACATAGCGGCAACTTCATGGCTGTGCAAATTCAATTTATTGTTTTGTTTACATGTTGCAAAATATTTGCAAATTACGCAACAAATGAATTATGCAACACGCCAACGAGGCGGGCGCCAGCTTTATAGGCCTAATTAGCGAGCCTGGCCAAACGCAGGGCTGGCCCAATCAAATTTTAAATACGAAGCGCCATGAAAATTCTCTAAATTTCATCAATAATCAAGAATGTATAGGTGTATAGGTTTTCCAAAGATATACTCGCAAGTATAAATACATAAATTTGTGCCACAATTAAACAGGCGAGAAGGCGAGCGGGGAATGCGGCCGCAGTTTAACACCTAACGCCATAAAAATTTACAATTTCCTAACACATATTTCCCTTTTGGCAGACCGCCAACAAAAAATGTACCAAAAAATAAAAGAAACTTAAAATTTGCAGCTCGTAAATAAACAGAGCAGAGCTGCGAATGCAGCCACAATGGCAAACACACAAGCAGGGAGCGCGAAAATTCTTGAAATTTCATTTGCTGGCATGGTTAGAAATGCCACCAAACTCCCAGCATACTCGTACCCGTATACATTCTCGTATATTTGTTGCAGTCGACTCTATATACACTTGCATACATACTTGTATTACTATACTAGTATGCATGTACGTGAGTGTGTGTGTGTGTGTGTGTGTGTGTGTGTGTGTGTTTGAGTTTCTCCAGAAACTCCTGCAGTTGTCGCTTCATTTTTGCACCAAAGTGCTGCGAAATATGTTGACAGGAAATGTTATGCGAATTTCACTGCGTAAAATGAAATTTGTGTGAATTTTTGGCGCGGGTCTGCCAAAAGAAACTGGAAAATTGAAAGAAACTGCATTTTAGCATATTAAAAGTCAAATTTCGCAACTTACAAAAAAAACTGCTAACAACAATTACAAATACGAGTACACAAGGACTGCTCTATCTGTATAATTTAGAGAGAATAAATTAATAATATTAATTATTATTATTAATATTTTTAATATGTTATATTATTAATATGTATATTTAAAATAACTTTGCCAGCTTCAAGTGGGTATTCTCATCCAAAAGCCGCCTAAGACATTCCATATTTTATTCCAATTTAATTTAATTATTCATAAAGCCATTGTTGCCTCGAATAAAACCTTCACAAAAATTATCCATGACAATTATTTTTTAAAAAGAGCATATTATTGATTGAGGAAAATTGCAATTCCAATTCATTGTATTCTGAAGCTCAGCTTATAAAGAGAGAAGGGGGCCCATTGTGAAGCCGTTGCTGCTAGTGTTCAGCTAATGAGTTGAGCTACTTAGTTTCATGATTTTTACGATCTCTGTCGTCTTGTCCATTTGTTTGCCATGAAGTTCCCTTCAGTGTTGCCAATACGTATATCAGTTTTAAACTTAACTCCTGGGCTATCGCGTTATCTGATATTTGTACCTTGTGGAGACGTGAGATGGCAGTTGACCGCATACCCTTTTCTTAAAATGTTCTCCATTGATATACGTATATTTTTGGAAGCTCTCTAGATCTCACTTTTTAAAGCGTACAGACATTAAAAGATACTTTTTTCTGGGCTTTTCACATTTAATTTTAGCATTCTTATTACATTGTCTCTATGCATATGTATGTATAATACATGTGCTGAGATTTCCCGCACTACTTATTCAAATCAAGTCACGTGTTGCATCGACGGGCTGCCCAACAATGTTGTTTTGCAATGAGCAACAATTCTTAATTGCAATAGCAATGAAAATGCAATCTATTTTATAAAACATACGATTACTTTACGTGCAATGTACAGTACACATATGGATAAAATATATCGCTAGCTCGTAAATAGAACGAGTGCATCTGATAAAGTCAAATTGACTTCGTCAATTAATTAAAACTATTGCAAAAAGTGGGAAAAAATAAATAAATAACGTGGGCAACGGAGTGGATAGTAGTAGTAGTAATAAATACTATTGTATAAATACTATTGTGAAGCTTATATTTATAAGTATGAATTTATATTTCATTTTAGTGGAATAGAACGAGGCATATAAAGTGGAGCGTACATTTTCAATCGAGCAGTGCAGCAGCAGCTGCTTCACCAGTAAAAGCTATAAAGCAATAGTGTCAGATTCAGAAAACTTGGCGAAAATGTTGAAATCTGCATTACTGTTTGCGCTATTGCCAGCGTTCTTTGCTACTGTGCAGGTAAAAAAAGGCTGATTTGACCCATTCGTTATATACTTGTAAATCATGGACAATTACATTCTCAGTGCTTTCCCGACATTGAAAATAGCACGGTATTGGACAGTTGTCTCGAATCAAACCATGTTACCAGAGAGGAACTAGAGTTTTTATCCAATCAGACCAGCTCTGAGGAGGATATGGACGAGCTTGATATGAAATACAAATGCTTCATTCATTGCATGCTAAATGATTTAGGATTACTAGATGACAAGGGATTCCTGAATGCTTCGAAAATAGAAGATTTTGAGGAAATGGGCGATTCCAATCGAGTGGTTCTGTACGACTGCAAGCGGGTACATGATGTGGCCGATCTGGACAAGTGTGTGTATGCCTTCAATATTGCGCAGTGTTTGTATGACAATATCGATATGGATAGTGATGAGGCCGACGAAGATACAGAGTAGATAGAACCAACATTCTAATACTTAAAGCAAACACTTAATGTTTTGATTAATTGATTCATTAAATATAAACAAAGCGAAGCAAACAGGTATGACGAGTTTCGGTTCATCAGTTAGTTCTATATCAATGCCTATACTTGTATAAGCAGAGTAATTGCTGGGGTTTTTTTAGTGATGACTTTCAGATCTCAAGTTATATAGCTATATTTGTACGATCACTTCAGGGTACTTTCAGTGCAGTGCCGGCATCCATTTGACGTGCTCAATGAAAGCCATGAAGAGTATGAGAGCTGTATTCTAAAAAACAACATAACTGTGGACGAATATGACGAATTTGTGGGTTTAAATAATTTAAGGAATGAAATACAGATTTAAATGCAGCATACACTGATAGTCGTATGGACTTCAAGCTGATGAATCCAACGGAAACGGCAAGGGAACTTATTACTAAATGCATGTCCCAGGCATCTAAAGAGCAATGTGCCTACAGTTTCTACATTCTACATTTCTCTAGCTGCTGCTCAACTATTCTGTAGAAGCAATTTTTTATCAGATATATTACGCTGCAAAGAAAATTTCTCATTCACTTTACAAATTTTTAACATCTGAAATGTCAAATCAATAAGGCGCAGGGATACGTATATAAATATAACACTGATCAGCATGGCGTTTGTTTGCCCATTCAAGAACCCACAAACACAACGTTTCGACAAGAAAATATATAATAATATATAGTATTATATAATATAAATATTATAAATCAACAAATATGGCATTATCCAGTCCTTCTAATGCCAATATCGGAGGGATAACAAAAACATAGAAATTCTACAGCGCTGTCAATCAAGCCAAGCTTAGACCATCAGTCTAAGTATAGTTGTATACCCTGCACTCAAAGGAATAATAAAGACCCCACAAAGTATATGTTTTTTATCTGTTTGGCATTCCCTATGAACTCAAGGACATTGGGAGCATAAGAACTCAGATCCCCAAACATGATTCCCTTAAGAAATTTACCCTACTTGGGTTGTGCAATTTTCTAAAACATCGTCACGTTCTTACACTGCAATAGAAACTTGTGAACAAATTGTAGTTTTCTCTAGTGACTAGCTATAGAAGTTGATGATTGAAGAAAGACAAAAAATTGTCGGGGACTCTAAATATTGATTATTTCCTTTTTTAAAGCGAAAAAATCATTCCCATCTTTGAACTTTGAAGGAGCAAGGATTATACCAATATCCTTCTTTTGGGATTATTTAACATGATTTAAAATTTTTAATTTTTATTCATTCTGTAACAATTTTAAGATTAGTTTTGAGTTATCATTATTTTTGAGCAAAAAAAAAATAAAACAAAATAATGATTATTCTTCAAGTTTTATTTTTTTATCAGAAATAAAACTCTGGTTGTAATTTTGCCTTTTTAATGAGAGAATGAATTAAAAAAAAAACCATTATTGTTTTGTCATTTTTATGATAACACTTATAATGATTACAGCCCCTGATAATTCTAAATATGCAATAACACTATAGTTTAGTACAAAAATGTTGTTTCTTCTGCGTAATAATTTAAAATTGAATATGTACTATATGTATAGCATCGTTTACTTCGGGTTGAATACGACGCTGACTCTGAATTTATTGCTGTTTCTCCTATTTAGTGTTAAAAGGTTTTTCCATTTCAAACTAATAAATTTAAATGGAAATAGGTTGAACAAAAAACAAACGACCAACACAATTAATTAATAACTTCACCGCAGCTGATTTGCATAATTAAATGAAACGGCAATTCACAGTGGGGGGTGTTTGAATCAAATTAATTGAATCGGTCGTGCAAACAGCTTTAATTGATTTCGCGATAAATGGAAAACGCGGTATGGAAAACAAAAACACAGCAGTTACCTAAGCTTGGCAAAAATCAAACAAGTCGTTAAAGATATTTTAATCATATGTACAATACATATACCTATGTATATGATATGTATGCATTATATTGGTACTATATTGTTTGAGAGAGGGGGCGCCTTGAGGCCTTTTGTCTGTGTGTGTCGTGCAGGAAAAAACATTTTGCGCCGCACACAATGCAATTCCGTTACAGTTTTGCGCTGTTTTTCTTTATGCCAACAGCAGCAGAAGCAGCAGCAGCAGCAGCAGCTAGCAAATGCAACGGAAGTTGTCACGTTGTTTGTGCTGATGTTGTTGCTATTGTTGTTATTGTTGCCGTCGCAGTTGTTGGAGAACAAGAAAAGGCGAGCGCGCAACACCCACACACTTGACTGACTGTGCATTGTTATTGCTGCTGTTGTTGTTATTGTTGCAGTAGCAGTAGCAGTCGCAGTCGCAGTCGGGTGCTTGTTGGCTTTCGATTGTCATTTCAACTTTTACGCGCTTTGCATACGTTCTGGCGTTCAACGGGCACATTAGCAGCAAAAAAATATGTGACGCAGGCATTGTCAACACGCATGCACGCCCATGTGGCGTATGAGTAATGTGGCCGCGTCTGTTCATGCAGAGTGTCCCTTTACCCCACGCCCCACCTTTCCTGCGCCTGTAGGAGTCCGTGCCGTGTGCGCGAAACATGTCAACATGCAAAACAACAATGGGGCGGAAGCGCATTGTAAACATAACACGGTGCGGCCTGAAGCTTGAAGCCCGAAGCCGGCAGCATTTGGGACGGCACAATTATAATTTTGTAAATCGACGGATGTTGGGTAAACACGAGACGAAAAGCAACAAAATGCCCGCGGCGACATTGCGAAAAGTAATTGCATTTTATTGCGTTTACTTAAGAGGTTGCATTATCATCAGCGACAACAACAACAAAAACACAAACACAAGCATCTAACACATTTGCATAATTGATAAATCTCTGGAATAAGGATGCAAAAAATAGAAGGCAAAAGAAGAGGAGAGACCAACAGACAGGCGAAGAAACCATCGAATGGTGGAATAGAAATTCTTATTTTATTATTTATTTATCGAGAGTGGTGCCTAATGGGAGCAAACCACACCTTTCGCGTATTTGTTAAAGGAATTTCAAAAATATTATTCCCCTATTTGTTGCACATCTGAACAGCAACTGCCAATAAAGTGCTTACATTGGCGCAAAATGCTCAAAACTTGCCCCCACATTGCCGTCAACTGTGCGCCAAGCGCACGTTTTTACGAGGGAGGCGCCTCTGCTGCTGCTGTTACTGTTGCTGTTACTGTTGCTATTACTGTTGCTGCTGCTGCCGGTGTTTCAGCTGGAGCTGCTGGTGCTGCCGCTGTACTTCAAGTGCGCTTATCAAAAGACACACGAGGCACTGACATGCACTCAGCGAGGTGGAGAAGCGTAAGCGCCGGGTAAGTTTGCAGTTTTTCTGTTGCATTTTTCCCTTGAGGAAAAAAGGACGAGCAAGTTCTGCATATGACTGCAGGCACGTCTATGGGTGTAACTGTGCGTGCGTGTGTGTGTGTGTGCGTGAGTTCGTGAGCAAGTTGATTTATGCCACTTTGTACACACAGTGTCGCTGTAAGACTTTGTGGGCATGTGTGCGTGTGAGATGCTGCTGCCGCTGCTGCTGCTGCTGCACAAATGATTTATTGCTACTCCTGCACCACTTTTCGTTTCGTTTCGCTTTCGCTTTGCAACCAACCTACGCCAGGCAGAGGCAACAACTGGCACACACACACACGCACCCACATATATGCACACATGTATACTATATAGTCAAAGTAGACACTGTCGCACTTTTGCCATAATAAATAATTATAATTGTTTTCTACCTCTCTGCTTTTTTTCTTTTGTGGATTCCGTACGATTGTTGAAAATCAATACAAACATAAGTACCAATGCACGCATGTTAATATAAGCAGATAATAATCTTATGTTATCTACAAGTTATCTGTCACTGTTGCATACGAATGTAAGCATAAAGAATATGTATAGCAAAAGTGTCAGTCTCCAATAAAACTCTAAAGCGAACAGACGCACGGCGGTCCGCGACTATTGTCTTTTACTTTACTCCTACTGAGCCCTTCCCTTTTCAGCGAATATATAATCTATTCAATAGGTTATGGGCCCAGGGCATATAGGCTCATAGGAGAAGTTCAAAGTATTGTGAAATAGTAATCGTTTGGTGACTCAAGAAATATAACATTTAAAAAATGAGTGCGCTATATCAAATAGACAAATTGGAAGAGCATAACTATGACTCATGGAGCATACAGATGCGATCTGTCTTAGTGCACGCGGAATTGTGGAGTGTGGCATCAGGTGCTGAACCTAGTAATACTGAGAGTTCAAGGCCAAAAGATGAAAAGGCATTAGCAATTATAACGCTAAGTGTAAAAGCTTCACAATTGGGCTTCATTAAAAATTGCAACACTTCGTACGAGGCATGGAAAAAGTTAAAGGACGTTCATCAGCCGAGTGGACCTGTACGGAAAGTGTCGCTGTACAAGAAATTGCTAGGCAAACGCATGTTTCAAGGCCAAAGCATTTCAAGTTACATACACGAATTTAACGAAATTCTGGATGGTTTGTGTACAGTTGGCATCGAATTAAATGATGAGTTAAAAACAATCGTGTTGTTGTCAAGCTTGCCCGAACCATACGAAAATTTTGTCGTCGCCATTGAGACGCGTGACAATTTACCGTCATTTGATGTGTTATGTATCAAGCTGATGGAAGAGGGAGAGCGCAGAGGCAATGCAGATGGAGAGAGCGAGAATGCAAGAGCATTTATAGCTACGCAGCAGATCGTCGCGCATTCCAAAGCGAATTCAAAAAGGAATTCAAAAATCGTCGTTTGCTACAACTGCGGCGAAAAAGGGCACTACAAGGCACAGTGCAAGCGTGAGAAAATTCGCGGTGAAGGGAAAAAGCAATCGACAAAGAAAGAGATGGAAAAGCAGAGCAGCTTGTTAAATGCGTTGGACGTTGGAAAGATAGAGAACAACATGTGGTGTCTGGACAGCGGAGCAACAAGCCATATGTGTTGCGATAAGACGTTATTTTCAAAATTTATTGCGCACACTGAAATGATCGGTTTAGCTGACGCTGGTTTCCTGAAGGCCGAAGGCAGAGGAGAGGTGAAGTTACAGACAGAACTTTGTACCTTGGTGTTGTCAGATGTACTGTATGTACCGAAAATGAATGGCAACTTTATGTCCGTCAGCCGGTCAGTGCAAAAGAACAATGTTATACATTTTGGGCCACATTTTGCTAAAGTTATACAAAACGGCGAGTGTATACTGAAAGCGAATAAAGTTGGGAACCTTTATATGTTTCAAGGCAAACAAAATAGGTGTTATTCCGCAACTGAATCAGATGGTACATTGTGGCATAAGCGTTATGGCCATTTAAATTTTACCAGTCTGAAGGAAGTGATCAGCAAAGAGCTAGTGCGTGGTATTGGAAAGGTTGTTTTCCCAGACAACTTGAATTGCAAAACGTGTATGCTAAGCAAAATACATGTACAGCCATTCCCAAAGGTAAGCACTAACCGTGCCGAAGAGCTGTTGGAACTGGTTCATGCTGATGTATGCGGCCC